GCGGTGACCGCGTCTCCTCCAGCAGCACCGCCTCCCGCACGCACGCACACACCATATGTTGCGTTCCTCAAGAAACTTAGTTATCCCTCAGGTCTGGCTTGAGCGGAGGCAGGAAAAGGAAGGAAAAAAGAAAGGGAGAAAAAAGGCAAATGGAGAAAAAGGCCTGTGAGGAAAAGGCCCAGCATTGCTGCTGGGAAATGAGGCCTGGCTGGGCACCACCGGTTGTGGAGGCCTGGAACAGCAGTGCCACCCCCAGCCTGGCTGGGGGCCTGGGCAGCAGCAGGGCTGGGACACACAGTTCAGACTGGGGGATCCAATGTGACCGTTCACATTCGCTCTGCAGCAGGCCCGGCCCAGGAGAGGGGCAGCCATAAGACTCCAACCAAGGGATGAAGGCAGAGGCTAGGGGGAAACCCCAGTGCAACACTCTGGTTTTACAGCCTGTAGGTGTCCACAGGTCAGAACTGAGAATGACTAAATACACTAAGAATTGAAAGCAAGAATGAAATGTTTTTTGCAAGTCAAAGCTGTTCACTGCACCCTGTGTAAGTGTGCACCTACTGCCTTCCATCTACCCCCCTCCATAGGTGTGTGCATATATATGTGGGTATATGTGTGTACGTCCCCGTGTGAGTACTTTTTTCAGTGTGTGTGTGTATGTGTATGTGTATATATATGTGTGTGTGTGTGTCTCTGTGTGTGTGTGTGTGTGTGTGTGTGTGTGTGGTGCCTTGTGGAGCTGGCAGCTGAAGAGGGCACTTATTTGTTTAAGAAAACAGGCTATGTATCCGAGCTCCCAAATTACATGCATCAGGGCCACTCACAAATCTCCAGAGGAACTTTTCCTTTCTGCAGGGGACAAGAGAGGAATCAGTGCCATTCCGGGCTGGGTTACACGAGGAAAGAGACAGGGGTGGAGAAGAGAGATACAGAAAGGAGGGGAAAAAACCAAACAAACAGGAAAAAACCAAAACCACTCGCTAAAGCCTCCCAAAACTCTCCCACCTTCAGATCCCAGCCTTGGACTCTGGCCTGGGGAAAGTAGCATCTAGTACGACAGAGGGAAAATTAATTCTCCAAGTTCCCAGCTCCATCTCCTTTACACATTCCAGATCCACAGAGGTTAAAAAAGGAATCAAAGTTCATTTCCCAATTAAATGTGAGTTGTGACCGTGTCCCTGTAATTTGTTGAGGAGAGGAAATGCCTCTCGTCGACTGATCTCTGCTTTAACCTGGTCAACACAGGCATGAGACTTTTATTGATGGATGCCCAGAGTCCCGTCTCCCCTCCCCACCAGGCTACTGCACAGCCACAGGACGTCGGAGATGGATTTCTCCTCGGGACTCCCGCAAACTTCACCGGCCCTTCACCCATCGGCTATTTCTACAAATCCCGTTTAAAAGCTGTTTTTCCTCATCACGGATCGAGTGAAAACCACCAAGCGTTTCCAGCCAGACGAAGGAAAAAAATTTCTCCCCGCCGCACAACCCTCGTTGCCCAGACTGGCGCAGTCTGAGCATGTTTAGGCTCCCTCTGTATTACAATTGTGCCCAGCCCGGCTGGGAAACATCTGATTACTGCCCCTGTAATCTGTTGACACTATCACCCAGATAAACAAGCTGCCATCGATCTTTTCATTAGGTGATCAAGTAACAAACAAAGCAGGTGAAAGAGAAGAGCGCTGGAATGCTTGCGCGTCCCCAGCCCGGCGCCCTGCGGCTGCAGCCGGCCCTGGCGCCCGGGTCGGTGCCTGCCGGACCTGCGTGGGTCCCCCTGCGAGACACGCGCCTTGTGTGGGGAGGGGAGCCGTGGAAATTCCCACACATGTTCCTATGGGGGGAAAGGGGAACGGAAGGGAGGAGGGAGAAAGAGCCTCGGACAGAATGAGGACTAGGCGCCTTTCACTCCTCCCAAATGCCGGGATGCCCAAATGACGCCAGGGGAGGAGGTGGCCCGGGGGGGGGCAGGACTGGGGAAGGTCTCCCTGCCAAGTGTCGCGGCCTTGCTCCCCTCCCTCTGCCCCGAAACCACGAGGAAGGAAGCGGCGACTTGCCTGGGGTGGCCCGGGG